TCACACACACACCACATCTCTCTCTCTCTCACACACACACACACCACATCACACACACACACCACATCTCACACACACACACACACACACCACATCACACACACACCACATCTCTCTCTCTCTCTCACACACACACACACACCACATCACACACACACACCACATCTCACACACACACACACCACATCACACACACACACACCACATCTCTCTCTCACACACACGCACGCACGCACACACCCCACACCACAGTGCTTTGGGTATCACAACACTGCAGTAGTAGGGTGAGGCAGTTCTATTACCGAATTATATGAAAAAGTGACAATTTTATTTAAAGCCCAGAAGGATTTCCGTGTGGAGCAAAAGCAAGAGCAGTCTGTAAATTCTATTTTCGTTTGCAGACACGTAGGAGATGAGTCCCAGAAGCGGACGTTTGGAACAGATGGCTGTGTTTATTCTCAGGTATGGACGGGATGATCCACAGCCTTTCATTTCTAAGAAAAGTTGTTCTCAGATTCATGTAAAATCAACTACTTTTGAAAGAGATTCTACATCTGCACAAATTATTATTATAAATAAATAAATTATTTATAAATAAATAAAAAATTATTGCTTTTTGCTTTGAAATGGAAGGTTTTTGATTTAATTTAGTTAAATTAAACTAAAATTTTAATTTAGTTTAACTCAATGGTTGCCCTGGATTTTTTGCTTAATTCAAAAAGAAACATTTTTTTTCAAAGTGAAAATTAATTTTTCATAATTTATTGACTGAGAACTTCGGAGTTTGTTCCCTTGCACTTTGAAATAAGATGAGTTTGGTGCTTGCTTGGTTTTAGGACTAAAGAATGCGTTGTCTTTAGTGATGATGTTTTACCCTCAAGTTCTGCTGGGCAACCAAGCGCAACTGTAAGAGCCTGTGTCGTCCGACGGTGTCTTGGCAACCTCTGACCAACAAATTGAAGAGAGACACCCCATGCCTGTGTCTGCGTCATTTGACAGTCTAAGGTTTCTGGGAGCATTATCCCCCATGTGGGGGATTTCCAGTTAAACTACTTTTAAAAATATGGTTTGGGGCTGGAAAGATGACTCAGCAGTAAGGAGCATGTGCCGCTCTTGCAGAGAACCCAGGTTCACTCCCCAGCACCTTATGACAGACACCTTTAATTCCAGCTCCAGACAGACCTAGAACCTCTGCCATACATGAACACCAGCACTCGTGTGCACACACACTGACATCCCCCCGCAACAGAGAGAGAGAGAGAGAGAATTAAAAATAAAATTAAAGAATACATTTGAGGAAGCTTATAGATTTCCATGTTTTTCAACACCCTTAACGTTATTTATATTATTTAATGTTTCCCTGATTGCTTAATACTTTTAAAAATGCCTATTAGTGGGTCTCACTTCCCATTCCAACAGATAAGGAGCAGAACTAAGTTCCAGGATCACCTTCAGCTTTTCTCCCTAATCCATGTGCTTGGAATCTCTATACGAAGTGTCCCCCAAAGGTTCATGTGCCGATGACATAAGCCCAACTCGGTGGACCATTGAGAGGTGATTAGAACCCTCGGGGTCTAACTGCAACCACTGATGAATAAAATCAGACACCCTAGTAGGCAGTGGTAGAAGTGTGGTGGGGAGAGGCCAGGACTGGAGCACCATTCTTCTCCAGCAAAGTGCGCATGGCTCCGGCCTTTCCCTCCTCGCATCCGTGATCCTTTCTGACCGCCACAAACGAACAGCTTTGCTCTCTTCCGCCCTTCAGTCACGACTGTCTGCCTCACCACAGGCCCGGAGATGTGGACCCAAACGAACGTGCACTGAAACCGAGATCCTAAACACATTCTTATTCTTTCCTCAGATTGTTTCCGATGTTGTCCCTGTAATGAAAGTCCTTCTAACACTGCTCAAGGACCTCCCCACCCCACCCCCACCCCTGTCCCGAGTGCAGCTTCTGTCCTCAGGGCGTTTGTATCTGGTCCCCACAGGAGAATATCCCCACAAGCAGGTGATGCGTGCTTTTCTACTTAAAACACAGTTTGTTTTAAGTAGGTTTGGATTATAAACTTTGTTCACAAACACAATCACTGATTTTTCTCTAATTGTTATAAATTTACAGAGAAAAGCTATTAATAAAACGTTTCAGTCTTGAAAACATTTGAAATTTCAGCTAGCTCCACATTTTGTCACATCCCGGCCATTTCCATATATTTAAAGATAAAATGGAGGATAATTTGGTAATTATTTGCAGCTGGATCATGAATTGTGAGCATGCCATTTTGTGTTTTTTTAGGGATGGAATGGCTGCTATAGGATATTATAAACGTATCTTGGCTCCAACACGTATTAGCTGTGTGGCCTTAGGCAAATCACCTAACCTTTCTGAGCTTCACATTCTTCATCTGCAAAGTGGAGATATTAATGCTAGCATTGTGATCATTGTGTGCATTTGGCACAGATCCTGGCTTAGAACAGCTAGTTGGTAATTTGCAGCTAATAATGATAAATGGAAATTTTAAATACATTTATTGCATTTACTTAGTTGTTTTTACTTGTGTAACTGTTTTCTCTTTGATGTCAACTATTTCTCTACTCGCAAAAAAGTAATAAAATCACATTTCATCGATATTTGATCAACTACAGCTAAGTTAGATATTTGAATTTGAACCAGCATAGAAAACGTACATTGAAGCATCTAACTTAATGTCGTGATAAGTAGGAGATTCTAGAAGCCTAGACATAAAGACAGATCTGTATAAAAGAAGACTGCAGTTGAGCGTGTGAAAATTAAAAGCTCCTAAGCTATTAGCAGCTTAAGCGAAAAGTAAATAAGGAAACTGGGCAAGGTGGCTAATGCCTTTAATAGAAATACTCTGGAGGCAGAGACAGGTGGACCTCTGCAAGTTCAAGGCCAGCCCAGTCCATATGGAGAGTTCCAGGGCAGCTCGGGCTACATAGAGAGACCCTACCACAACAAAACAAGGCAGCAAGAGTAAATAGTAAATAAGAAAACATGGAAAAATCTTTGCAGCATCAGCATCAGAGACTGAGATAATATGTTAATATATAGTAAGTCTGACATTTTGGCAGGAAAGTTTTAAACCTTTGATAGATAAGAGGGCAAGAGGCATGGAAACAAAACATGTCAGAAGAAAAGTTAAAAGAGACAAGCCAAATAAAGCATCTGGTCTCAGCAAAGAGTCAACAGCTGTCAGACAATTCGGTGAATATTCCTCCTGTTAGAGCACAGTTGGTAAACCTGGGAATCCCCAGTCTGATGAAGGTATCGGGGCACACACTTGCTCACCTCTGATTAGCAGTAATTTTCTACTGTATGTAATAACTTACCTTGGAAGCTTAGAAACTTCAAATAGCAAACATCTGTGGTTTCATGGGCTGGGAACCCAAAGTGGCTTCTCTGTAGTCTTCATCATCATCATCATCATCATCATCATCATCATCATCATCATCATC